CATTTCAATAATATATGCAATATAATTAAATTCTAATACTTATATAAGAAATTGTATCAATTTTTCTTTATCCCAAACAATATAATTTATTCAAAACTGCCAGTGTCAAGTTATCATTGTTTTGCGTACGATTTATTTACACAGCAATCTGGATACAAAATTATGAAGTTCATAGATTGTTTTTTTTTTCTCAGTCCAGTGACATCCCTTGTTCTTCTGTAAAGCCTTACTCTTGTGGTCGAGTTTGTGGGCGGAAATTAGCATGTGGGAACCATGTCTGTCAACTTCCATGCCATACAGTGACTGGGTCTGAAAATGCTTTTTCGGTCAGTTTAACTGTAGTGCCTTATTAAATTATTTGCAAAATTCAGTCTTATCTTCAGACTAGGCAGGTTAAAGAATAAAATTGAGGTAAATGACAGTGGGGAAAAACTTGTGGGGATTCCAGAAATTTTTTTGAAATGTTCCATTTTCTTAAAATATACTGATGTCAAATCTAGCATAGAACATCACTTATCATTGAAGTGGTATATGAATCTATCAAAATATTTATTGTTTTAATGAATTCTCTTTGCATCTAGGCTGGTATGGAATGTCAGCAGTGTGAATTGGGATGTGAAGCCAAACGCCCCGAGGGTTGTACTCACCCTTGTTTGAAACCTTGCCACCCACCACCATGCTCCCCTTGCCGCATGATGGTACGCATGCGCTGTCACTGCCAGACTCTTGTCAACCACATTGAATGTTTGAAATGGATTGCAGCATCTCAAAATGAAAGGGATGCACTGAAATCTTGTGGACAGCCATGCCCAAAAGAGGTTATTAATTTTTTTTTAAATTTCATTGTAATGAAAGTGATCCCTCATCTATCATGGGTTCACTGTCTCAGATTTTTTACTTCAATATATCTGATTTTGAATCATCATTTCTTCTTATATTTGAGGCCCTTGATCAATTTATTGATCATTCTGGCTCCTGGTTAGATGAGTTGCCGGGGTGCTTGGGATGTTGGCTTTGGTGGGGATTGAACTCCAGACCACCAGCTATTTTTTTTTGAGTCAGTTTAGACCGCTTGACCACCCAGCTATATCGCGGATTTAGCTGTATACCAGTATTTTAAAAATGTATTATTTTAATTATTTTTGCTGTAATAAAATCATGTTTTATGCATAAAAATTAAAAACAATATTAAAAATATAAAAACGATTAATTAAAACATTAAATCGAAATAAAATAAATAGAGTACAGCATATGAGTAGACAAAGACTCATAAATATGGAAAACGCCGTTTAGAGATGTTTGTTAGAGTGCGAGTAAAGGTTTATAAAACCTTAAAATATATAAAAATGATAAATTAATTATAAGGTTGCTTTTTCACAGATTTTCACCTATTGGGTGGTGTTGTCTCATGGTATTATTTTATTCTTGTGGTAAATAAAAACGATTGGTCAAAAACTGTTTCATTTTCAAAGATAATAGCTCTTATAAATTGATTTCAGATGCCCTGTGGCCACCCATGTGGTGCTGTTTGCCACAGTGGAGAATGTCCAAACATTTCAAGCTGTGACAAGAAAATCATACTGAAATGCAAATGTAAAAAAATCAAGAAAGAAATAACATGTCGAGAGAAGAGTCTTATATCCAAACCAGAATGTGACGCTAACTGCAAACCCCAAAACCAGGTTTGTCTCATTTCTGCAAGTTAAATCTTAATAAAAGCAAGATAAAAAATATTTTTGATCTTAAGTAAGTAGTGTAAGCTTGAAACAGTCTTCCATGAATCATTTGAATCTTATTCAAGGGATGATTTTTCAGCTTTCTGATGGGTCGGTAAATAAAAATAGAGGATGTGATAGTCATAGTCTGGTCTGACACAAACGTGGAAATCCCCCTGGCATGGAGAGTTAAATTTCATAAATAAAAAATCTTCACCAATTTTTCAATTTAATTTAAAGAAGTAGAAGCACAAAAAGATAATGTAACAGACATTTATCAAATATTTATTTAAGGACTTGGATGCAACTGTGAAACAGAAAGAAGAAGAAGAGCGTAAAAAACAAGAAGCTGAACTACTTGAGTTTGAGAGAATGATGAAAGGACGCAGAAAGAAACCAAGGAAGCACAGGGAAGAAGTTGTTGAAGAGTCTTTTTGGAAAAAATACAAAACATACATTGTTTTAGTTCTAGGGATTTTTTCAGCCTCTGGAGTGTACCTGGTATATCAAGCACAAAATTAGATGTGATTCTCTATCTTGAGCTTTTTGTCTTAATAAGTATACTCATATAGAAAGTAAATGTATGTCTTACTTAAATTTAGTTGTTTTATTGACTCCTTGTAAATACATATAAATGTTAAATGGAAGGGCTAAATTGATAACTTAAAAATTGTGCATTGTTTTATTTTACTCCAAAAATTATGTATTTCATTTTACTTACATTTCTTGTAATGTTATCGATGATTTTGCCATGTTCATTGCAGAATTTATTAGTTTCTTTGAAATGTGATTTCGGATTTAATTTATTTCACACAGCTGTTGTTCAGTTCAAACCAAACAACTTTTTTTAAAATATTTATATTCTTCCTTCAATTGTGGCGGTGAATGTTATTGTTTTCATATTTTAAAGTACTCATTGTTGATCTTACCTTATGCCCCCTCCTGTCTGCTGCATAATAGAGCACTATCACCAATTTTTAAACAAAAATGAAATGCCCAGTTGTCCAAAAAAAAAATTATTTTTTTAAAATGTATTAACCATAGAGGTTGATGAGACATACCAAAATGGATATTGTACAGTATTTGGATGATGATGTAGAAACAGTATATTTTCTTGTACTGTCAAAATGTGACTATATAATCAAAAGGAAGGCTGATAAAATCTTGAATTTTCTAACATTATTTGAATTTTATTTTGGGATTATTTTTAAGAAATTAAACTAAATTAATTTGACAAATTTGGCTCACTCTCCCTTTTTTTTCTCTATTAAATTCTAGGATTTTGCCTTCTTTTAAAAAAACTTATCAATATGATCCAAAAAAAGGCTAGTTTGTATACAAATACAATATTCCAGATTCTAATAGTTAGTGTCCTGTTAATTTGACCCTACACACAAACCATATACCTCTTTTTATATCTGTCATTGGTGAAGGAAAATAATGATTACTCTACATAATTTTTGGCAGCAGTAAAATTAAAATTTCTACAAAGTGATAATACCCCAATGCAGACAAATTTTAGTGAATCAGGAGTTCATCTAAAAGGATAAGGGAGCACATAAGAGGAAAGAGATCTTGACTAATGCATAATATGCAAGAAAAAGTCATGAGACCCTAAAAATATTGTTGTCGCAGTTGAAACAACAAAAAATTCCATGGTTATTTAAAAAACTTGCAGGGTTCCGTTCAGATTAACTGGTATCCACTATTGGCAGAATGGTTTACTTTTTCTCTTCTACAGTTTTCTTAAGGTTTTACTATTTTTAAGCCAAGAAAAATGCCTGTAATTAATCAAATGAATTGTTATAAATCAAATGAACTATGTTTTAAAATATGAATGGCTTTTCAGCTTATGTTCTGATTTTCATTAATTATTAACCTTTGTGTTTGACCAGTCTGACCCAATTTCAATTTGATTACAATTTTTTAAAATAGTTTTTGTGAAACTATATCAGTGGTCGGCACAAATGGATAAATAAATGTGTATCTCTTTTTTTTTTTTTTTTCAAACTGTTTACCGTTCAAACTGTGTTTTCTGGGCGAGTAAACTCAGCTAATCTTTTGACCTATACTACACCTTTGTTTACACTGGTTGCAATCTTTAACATAGCTGTCATCAGCTTTGGTCATAAATAAAGTGTTTGATGTTCCTAAATTTTAATGTTGCCTGTTTCAAATCAAATGGATAATTATATTTTTCTGAATCTTGTATTTTTCATCTAAAAATGATAATTATTAATTAGAATATTTAATTATATTCAATTTTTACTAATGTAATTAAAATTGTCAAACAGTAAAATACACTCATTTAGCATTTTGTCAAATTTTGAAGATACATTATATATGTCAAAAAGTTTTCTTAGCAGATATAATTTATAAAATGGCTCTCAACTGTTTTCTGATCTAGATAGAACAAATATGCAAAATAAAACCCAATCCAATATTGTTGGATGTTTAATTGTTTATGCAAATAGTGGGCTCTTAAGCAGGACTATATTTAAATGTATTTTCCATTTATCCATTCTAGCTGTAAAGCTAATTATTATCAGGGACAATCCTCTAATATGACAAGGAATCAATCCCCATTAATTTAAAAAAAAAAAAAATTCACTAAGCAGATCCTAGTTTTTAGTTAGGCAATGCTAGTAGCTTGTCTAGAAATTTTGAAAGATTTAAAATGCTAATCTGCTATTAATGTTTTTCCTTAATAAAGATAGGCCTAAAATCTCAATATGAAATGAAATCAAGTAAGAGTAATTTGGAATGGACAAAGATGTTTGTTAAGTGCCATTGAGCCAGAAATTCCTACATCTAAAAATAAAGTGAGAGATAATGAGAAAATTCACTCAAGAAAACATAAACATTATTTTATTGAAATAAAATCACAGAGCTAATTGCTGTAAATTCTCTGGCAAAGGAGCCACTCTTATCAAATTTTTACCTTTTGTTTAAATAGGTGACAGCAAAATGTATGAACTCTCATTAAAACATAATGTCAGCTTTTTGTGTTTGCCGTTTAAAAAGTTTCACTGGCAAATAAAACAGAAATTTCATTCAAGAACATAATATAACCATCAAAGCTTGCATAACTATCACCAAACCTGTTGCTTTGTAAAGTAATTTAAAAAAATCGGAGTAAGAACAAAATTAATAAATAATAATAATAAAACATAACTGTCTGAAACTAAAACATCATACTGCTAATAAAGTGCTAGGAGTTTTTAGTAATTCATAGTTTTTATATGATATTATAAGTCAGGCTGATCAAGACCCCCCACCCCCACCCCACAGACTCTTTTCAGTCCTCTCCTTGAGAGGTTAATAAATATTAGGACTAGCCTGCCAGCTCCCCCCCACCACCAAAGGAGGAAAGCATAAGTGTTTGCCTAAAAAGGCATACAAGGTATGTTAAAAATGAGTTCTCATTTTAAAAAATTTCAGGCTATTAAAACAATAGTGAATGCATTCCTTTTCTATCACAAACAAAACTAAATTTATAGTGTAGACAAGTTAATTCATTAAGTAAATCTGATGTGGTTTATTATCTGCATATAAAAAAAAAAAACCTTGCATTTTTTAAGAATACAAGTGCTGCCTTGAGGAAAAAAGCAATTGCAACCAACAATTTTCACCATGTGCAAAGATAACATGGGAAATAATACTTAAAAAATATTTGCCTGAATTTGTATACCGATACATAAACATGAACTGATAGAACTTTTAAATCTAACTTTTAAATCTAATGGTGTCCAATTTTTAAAAATCTATTAAAAAGGGAAGTGAAGGATGTTGTTTTTAAAAAAATACTTATAAATTCTGATCATTACTTCAAAAAAAAAAAAGATAACTATAAAAAAATACTATACACTTATTTCAATGAACAGCGTTTACAAAAGCTGCCTTACACCCTATAGTTAAATTATGATAGATAAATACATTTAAATTACATGTAGTTCTTTTCATAAATTGCAACAATAAAGAATATGGCTCAATGACCATACCCTAATTGTATTACTGTTCAAGCATTGATGGGTATTGGGGCTTAGCAGTAACTATTAACAGCCAGACAGACACATACAATTGTTCCATAGTTCTCAACCATTATGGCACTAATGGTTAATTTAGTGATCACTGGCCAATAAATATATTTCCTCTTCTTCCTGTCTTTTGAAGAATCAATATCCCCTCCCTCTCCCCCACCCACTCCCTTACTCAGTGCACAGCATACAAATCGTTACCACTATTGCAGAGAGTAAGTCATCCAAGAAATGAATTTCAGAGAGCTAGTCATCCAATCAATTAATAATCTCTTACCCAATCATATATTTTAATAACTGGTTAAAAAGTATAATGCAGATTTTATGAGACACATTTTTATTTATATTAATTTATCGAAACATTAATTTAACACATTTAAAAACAATGGGTTCAAAATTTAGAATGGTACAATTTTCATTTAATTTTAGATGGGTGTATCTGGAATATTAATGCATCTCCTTGCCGCTGCAAGTTGCATAAGAAGCAATAAATAAATATAAACTAAAACAATCAGACTTTAACTTATGAATGCAGTTAATGCTTTTAACTTAACCAATGCAAGGTACATAAATACAGCTCTCATTACCTTAATAGTTAATTTCCTTAAATCTGAACACTATTTTTTTAATACTAAATTCCCAATCTTTTTTTTGCTTTCTACCTTTGATATAATATATACATATATATTTATATTGATAAAATTGTGTTTAAAACTTTACTATTCATGCAGTGGAAATTCAGGTGCAGGGAAACAAGTACTAACGATAAAGCAATAGTAATAAAATAAAATAGTTCATTGCTGGCATTCCAGCATTGCTATGTGAAAGTTATTGGTATATTAAGAAACAGATTATTTGATAATGGTTCATTTCCTTAATTAAAACTAACATTTTTCCTCTCATTCATTTTTTCCCCACACAATTATTTTTTTTAAAGACAATAATTGCTAACCTAAAATACTGCTGTGGTCAAAAAATATTCTTCTATGTGCTTGTGGTAAAATTCTAACAGTGAACCCCATAAATACTCCCAGGTCTGTATGACCTGCACTCGCAGTGGCTGCCAATATGTAGTGCACATGTAATCTTTTTGACTGGTAATACAATGGAAATCTATTGCAACCAGCAGAGCAGCAAACAGCGCAAGGAATGAGAAGAGAACCAATAAGATGCAGTTCCTACTACCCTGACCTGAAAAGAATTGTTTTTAAATTGTCTTAGTAAGATCTTTATTATTCTTTACATCATAAAAAATTATTACTAGCTACTTGGCATGTCCAAGATATATTAGCTAAAAAAAACATCAGAATATTTAAGTGTTCGTGCACTGTGAGATCTTTCCCAGTGTAAATAGCACATAAAATCCTGTCTTAAATTGATTTCTGATATGGTTTAAAACTAATTTGAAAATCTTTAGAAAATTCAATTTATGGTGTAAAAATCAAGCTTGCACACAAAACTTGGGAATGTGAGCTCTGGTGTTGTGAAACATAAAAGATTTAATTTATTCAAATGTCTTGCGGAGTTTCAAATTGTAGTCAATTAATTTGGAAATTAAGTACACATTTAAACTAACCTCTTCCTGTTTTTCCTTTGAGACTTTCTTTGAATTTAAGTTTTTCTGAAAAAGATTATAAAATTTTTGACTCAATCAAGTGCATTAAATATAAATATATGATAATAAGATCTACTTGAAATCTTGTGGGCGGACACACACATATATATATTTTTATATTTCAAATAAATACAAATGTTTAAACGATTAAACTCATATTAATAGCAAAGGGATATTGCAGGTTGTTGTTTTTATTTTTATTTTATTTTTAAAATTTACATTATTTTACTGCATAAAATAAGGCTCACCTCAAGTTGAAAAAAAAGATTTAACAGATGTTTAAAAGTTCTCTGGGTTTAGATTAAAATTAGAGCTTATTATCATTATGTGACAGTTTCAATACCTCTAACTGCATTGATTTCTTCATCTGATGTATCACCATTATTGGCAAGTAACTCTTGAGCTCTTCTTGCTTCATGTTCTCGCCGCCTCCTTTCCTTTTCAGCTTTTTTCTCCTGACGCTTTCGCTGTTGCTCTTTCTCTTCTTTTTCTTTTTGTTTAGCTTCTGCCACTGTAAAATAGATCACAGTGCACCCTCTAAAACAGTTTCAACAAATTTATAAAAGACCATTTAATGGTAGAAGCATAATATTTTTGCTAGTCAATAATGAAATTTGGGCATCTTCTGCATCTATCGCAAATTAGTAATTGTGATAACCCAACCAATATAATGAACTTTTTACTACAATAACACTGACACAAAAGAATCCTAAAGACCAGGGCAACCAAGGATGATGACAAGGGCTTGTGTTTCTATTCATGAGATCTTACACTGATAATTACGATAGTTTGGTTTAATATTTCCCCAGGGCTTGTGTTCCTAATCATGAGATCTTAAATTAATAATTATGACAGTTAAGATTTAATAGTCTGCACAATGACAGTTAATTAATTCAAGATATGACAAATAAAAACAGCTGTGCATTTTGAAATTCTAAACAGATGTGTAAAGCATTTTGATATTCTATGACTGTATAACTACTTACATTCTTGTTTTTTTTTCTTTGCTTCCCATTGTTTATCTAACTGTTCATCTAGATCTGTCATGTACATTAATATCTGAAATAATTATGGTGAATTTAATATGGAAACAAATTATTTCAGAAAACTATCATCAGGTTAAAATCAATTATTTTCAGACAGTAAAATGGCATTTAACACCAAAAAAAAAAAAATTCATTTTATTAGACCTCTTTTCTGAAATAGCTTCCCCTTTGGTGCCATATAAATTTATTCCAAACTTTAAAAATGTACTACAACGATTTTATAAAATTTCAGTAGATGTAGAGTTAACTAGTCATAATACATACCCTGGTTGCACATTTCTTGCATTCAATTTCATTTAGGCAGTCTCCAGCATTTTTCTTCAGTCCATCCTCCAAGGGATTGTCTTTTAAATCCAACCATTTTAACTTTTTCAGCATACAGAAAGATCTGGGTAGTGTTTTCAGTTGATTACCAAGAAGGTCAAGATGTTGCAAATTTTCTAGTTGACCAAAATCTTTAGGGAGTTCATTCAAGGCATTTTTGCTTAAATCTAGCCTGATGATATGTGTCAAGGTGCAAAATACATCCTAAGAACAAAAGATATATGATGAAATTAAAAATGTGAGATATTCTAAACATGAGCTAACTAAAAAAAATGTATCTTAAACCCACTGATTTTTTTTAAATTGGGGATGGATGGGCAGTCAAATAAAACATGATATTTAATAAGTTTTCCGATTTTAAGCAAGTAAAGCAATTGTTCAATAATCAACATAAAGGATTATTTTTCCATAAGCATAATGCAGGATTTCCCTAAAAAATTTTGAAAATTAAAATTGACATTCAAAGTTTGTACATTAAGAAGATATTTCCCTGGATTTTCTTGACTGCATTGCACATGTTCCTCTTTGACTTTGTCACAAAGATTCAACAAAAATATAGCTGTTATTTTCTTGACATACCCTGAGAAAGACCGCCCTGTTCTGAAGAATTCAAAATTCATTCAAACTGCCAATTTTAAATGTTGGAATTCTTTTCGACACTTACTGGAAGTACTGTGAGCAGATTGTTGGATAAGTCCAAGTGTGTTGCTTTTGGTAGGGCTGCCTAAGGTAAAAGGATTTAAAAAGAGCATTTAACATTTGATGCCTTGTCTGGTACAATAATAGAATCAAGTACTTCTCATTGGTGTAGAAAATGGAACAACAAAAATCCTCAAAATTTGAGTTATTCTAGGCCGATAACTATAGTTAAGAATTAATCTATTATGCCCTTTATAAATATTATAATGAAATTATATTAACTTTAAATTGGTGAAACTATCAGTTTTATTCCGTGTAATGTAGGTCTTAATAATACAAACAGTGTGAGTTAAAGTGCAAAAATAATTAAAATTGAAAAAATTAGGCTCCCTACTCCTACTAAGTTGAGTACTGGGGCATTATTTAGGGCCTACTCAGTATTGGTCTTGCATATGGACCATTTGTATTATTAATTATTAGTCTCAGAGAATTCTTCTGTGCCATGTTTGTGTTAATTTATTAAACTAGATTAAAATCTATATTCTAATCAATCCCTCTAATAATGATTTAATTAAATCACAAGCACAAGGCATTGCTTTTAGTGAGAGTAAACAGCCTGGTTACAAATAAGAAATCATTTATTAAGATAATCCAAATTTATCCACCCCCCCCCCCCCCCCCCCCCCCCCCCACGCCATCCAACTATACTACTAACTGACAGTTAGGGGATAGCATTTTTTTAAGGGCAAGGGTAAATAGTAAATACTAATACTAATAAGTCCAATTTTTAAACGTGGTTAGTTTGAATTTGATAGAATGATAATTGAATGTGTCTTTTTTTTTTTTTTACCAGTTCTTTTACTGGAACAGTCTCTAAATTACTTAAGCTTAAATCAAGCTCATTGCCGTTGAGTTTTTCACGAAGTGATTCTTTTGGCATTTCCTGGAATTAATAGATCTAGGCTACTTTGCGCCCAGTATTCCAATAGTGAATTAAGTAAATATAGGGATAACTGTGTTTGGCTGTTATTTGCAGATGTTGACACGTCTACAGAACCGGAAGCAATTTGAATTTATTTTTCTTAGCGACTGCAAAGTCATATTACAATAATGATAAGCCTAAAATATAAAAATTCATCTAATTTCTCATAACAGAATGCAATTTCAGTTATTTGCATTATAAAAGTTTTCAAAAATCCATGTATCTATTTAAATTGTTCATGATTTTTAAAATATCTTATTATACAAGTTTTGTCTAATTTAAACAACAAATTTTACTTAATTTCAGTAAGAAATCTGGACATGTTGTTCTTAAGAATTCAATAACATTCACTGATCAACGGACCCTAAATTAAATAACAATAAGTCATTTTTTAAAATGCCTGAACGTAAGTTTTTTTTTTTAATTTAAGAAATTAAGCTTCTGATTACAATTAAGAAATGTATTACTATACTTTACTAAAGGTCTGTGCCTAAAGGCTACAAGAAACATTTTTAATCTGAAAAAAAAAACTACTTACAAACCACATCCAAAAGCATCCAATTATCGATAAAGGATCAACGAAGTTGACAAACTTGTAGGCTACGGCTATTGGTAGTTGACTACCAATAGCCCCTAGAGAGCTATTTGTAGTCAACTACCAATAGCCCCTAGAGAGCTATTGGTAGTTAACTACCTATAGCCTCTAGAGAGCTATTGGTAGTTTTAACTACAAATAGCTTCTAGAGAGCTATTGGTATTCTATTACCAGTAGTAGTTAGTAGTAGTTTACTATCAAAAACAAATAATTAGTGATAGATTGATGTACTGCAGTATTGACAAAGAATTTTTGGCACTATTGTTTTGAATGACATCATTGAAATTGCACTTATTAAGTCTTATGCTGTGGTTATTTGGACCCGGGTCTGAGAAGTGAGAGTTTGGGTTTATCAAAATTTCATTTTAAAATATTATAGGATTTGTAAGACAAAATTTGGTATCAAATGAAAGATAATTGAATGTACAGTATTTTTGTAAACTTACTTCTGGGGTGTCCGGGTCCAATAAGACCAATGCTTTTCGGATGTCAGTCATTTGTGGTAGTTTAATTTACTTAAACTGAAGTTAAACCATAGTCCATTCAATTATATTTAATTTCATTTCATACAAAATTTTGACTCACAACCTAGCAATATTATTTTTTTTGTTAAATTTTAATCCAAACCTCTCAGTTCTCAGACCCGGGTAGGAATAGCCACTTCTTAAGTAGGTCTTTGTTTCCGACGTCTTAGACAGCAGCTGTGTGGTCTGGGTGCACTTCAAAAAAAAATTAATTGTGTCTAGTCTCATAAATCATCATTCACTCCAAATCGGATTTCCAAAGCATACTAGACTACACTTTACTTTTATGTTTGTTAATATTTTATGTATCACGGCCTATGTTTTCATCGGATTCTGTTCTGTTAAATACATAACTTTGGCGTAGTAAGTTAGTAAATAGAAATTGCTAGACGTTTAAATATACGTTTGTGTTATAGATGAGCAATTTACCGAAACTATGTATATAAATATATCAATGTCTTTATTATGAGTTAACGAGCGCTCAATTGTGTAAATAATACTCAGTAAGCATATCTCCCACCAGAAGATGGATAAAAGAAGAGGGGGTGGGGGGTTACCAGGTGACCATGTTCCTAAAGATAGCTTGGCCAAAAGCTTGTGTTGTCATCTATTTTTAAAAAAACACCGTAGGCTGTACCATAAAACTATATTTCTGAGTTGGATTTATTTTCAAATGAGCACGTTTTACTTTGGCAAAGAAGGAGCTGTGTAAATTTTTTAAAGACTATGATATCCCCCCACCCCCTTTCCCGGCACATCTATCCAGACCCAATTATTAGTGGTAGAGGATAGAACTAGATATTGAAGTCCATGTCATGAATCATTAAAATGTATGTTGAGTACATGGTAATGGTGAGTTTAGGCTTATCAATTATGTTATGACAAGTCAACAACTGCAGTTTTTTAGTTACCGTCAAAGTATTTTTATTAATGAACTCAAGATTTTATTCCCATGTCAATGTCATTAACTGTAAATTACTACTGTAAATTTAGATTACATGGGTATGTAGTCTAGAACACCTTTCTTCCAAGCTCCTGCAGAGCTGATGTATTGTAAGAATCAAATAACACACAACACTGTAACAATTCATATTCATGTATTTAATCCTTTGTAATTTGTATGCATGTGGGTTGAAATGCATAACAAACTCCACCTAAAAGCTCACTCCTGTGCCTACATCCACATCAATGTCACTTTCAACAAAAATAAAAAACTACATACTCAACAGAACTCATCACTGTCGACTCAACACTAGTTCCTTTAACATAACACATTTTTCCTCACATGGTTTTTTTTTAAGACACACCGCCCACTGAAACTATGGTTTTAATCAGCATTCTGTCCCTATAATATTCTTACTTAGTAGGTTCATTAGAGAATTAGAAACATGCAAGTATGAAACAACTAAAAAAAACATAATAAATTTAATAACATTTATTAACAAATTAGGCATAGTTATTTTAAAAAATAATAATAAACATGTAGAGTAAGAAAAACCAAATGTGTTGCTGATGGACTTCGCAAAGGCATCTGACAGTGTGAATCATACTTTGCTTCAACACGAAGTCCACATAGATCAGGGATCCAAGGCACCACTAAAACATGGATTTCTAGCTTCCTCAGCCAAGCAGTAGTGGTGGACGCAGACCTGTTTACTCTCAAACTCATAAAATCGTACAATACCTTATATTTATAGAAAAAAATAAACATACAGTATACATGCTAACACCTCAAAATCGTACATTGTACGCCAGAATCGTAAGAGTAAACAGGTCTGTGGACGGTACAAGCTCCTTTGTCAATGTGAAGTCAGGGGTCCCCCAGGTATCAGTGCTAGGCCCCTGTTTGTTCCTAGCAGACAATGACCTACCCGAGAATCTGACATTCCAGACTGTTCGCACATGACCCAGCGGTGTATAGGACACTCGCCAACAGATCTGACCAGGACCAGCTACAACAGGATCTCAATCTGTTAGCTGAGTGGGAGATGAGCTGGGACAAGGAATTTCACTCTGCCAAGTGCCAGGCACTATCAGTCTTTAAAAGTAGTACGCCTCTACACTACCAATACGAACTGCAAGACCATATACTTGAGCCAGTTTCTCCCGTAAAGTACCTGGGTGTTACCATTCAAAGAGAGGTCCGCTGGGACAAGCATTTTAACAATGTATGTAACCAAAACCAAGCAAACAAGACCCTGGGGCTTAATCTAAAGATTGGCAACTCCTGTGTGAAAGAAAGAGCCTATAAATTATAAAGCCTTTGTCCGTCCGGTTTTAGATTATGCATCTTCAGCCTGGGACCCATTTATCTAGAAGAGCATCGACAGGTTGGAGGCGGTCCAGCGACAAGCAGCACGCTTTGTCCTAAACCACTTTAGGAAACTCGTCCATCTGCCCCATAGAAATTCAGGCTCATACCAGCAAGAAGCCAATATAGGAGCTGCTCCTTCCTGCCCAAGACAATCTAGCTTGCAAAAGGAATAGTTGAGGCGACAACGCTAGACTCATTTGGGTCTATTGCCTCAAGCCTTCAAACCCCCAGTGCATGATTCCCTCACAAAGTGACACTGGAAATCATTGAAATGTCCTCAACACCAGGCACAGAAAAATTGCAAATCCCCTCTACATGTATAGGAGCCAAAAATGATCAATAAATTAATCGTGTACTTAAGATATAGAAGAATAATCTCAATATAATGAATATGTTATAAATGTTAGCAACATCCAAAATTTGATTAGAAAAAACAAATCCTTATGAATTGAATTAATGAAGTACATAATGAAACGTAGAAAAAAAATATTCATACTGTTAATAAAATAAACATGAATAAAATAAATGAAAAATAATAGACAAAATATATATCAATATATATCAACATACAATACCAAGCCAAGCATAAATAATGAATGAACTGAAATTACAAAAGAATAAGAATACACACTACAATTATGGATATATATTAACAGCGCAGTAAAAAAGAATTAAATTACCAGCATGACTGACAAAACCATGATTTTATCCTCATACTGGATCTATACCCAGCACAATCATAGTGGAACCATTCCAGACAATGATCACACTGTACCATCTTTAGCTCACCATCATCTATAGTTTGACAAGAACTGCAAGAAAATAGATTATCTTGACTTTTTATACTAACTCGAGCCAACAATTCCCTCCAGGCATCATCAAGAAATTTATCTTGAATGGAGCTAAAATTATGATCCACTAAACATGCACCCAACAGACTAGGCGACTTTAATTGATCTATAGTGTACGGGGGCTCACCACCTGTCACACATGCATTTACATACAATTCAAACTTAACATCATCTGTCAATTTGTCGAACTTTAAAGGAACTGAATGCTTTCTTTTTCTCCTAGTGAAATTCTGTTTATTATTTGGCCTGCCCTTAACTCGTACTCTTTTTAAAATAATATTAGAAAAGCTAGCATTAGCTTCAGGAAGTGAGTGTTCATTGTCAGAGGATATACAAGGTAAGGATTGAGCATCAATTAAACTAACGGCTTTTGCAGAAGAACAAGGAAGTGAATCAACTACATTACAATTGCCGCTTGTTGAATAACATGTCAGTGAATCTACACCATTAATAAGAACAGTAGTAGTGGAAGGTATATTATTAACAACTGGACAAAGTATTGAATCAGCATCAGTTGAAGCAGTATCTGGAGGTTCACTGCTTGTTAATTCAACATCATTAATGAAAACAGTATTAGTAGTAGCAAAAGGTAATGAATCAACATTTAAATCAACACTAGAAACAGTGATATCAGTATTTGTAAAAACAGGCTCAATAGGAGCACTAGCTGCAACATCTGCTACCAACATGTCATTGCAGGAATCAATGCCATGCCAGAGATTTATTAAATGCCTGACTTGAAGATATTTGTCTTTAAAATCAGTGTCTCCAAGCAAAGGCAAATAAGAAGAAATTTCACTAACAAGTTTAGAGGTCAATACATATTTGTCCTCTGGGGCACTAAGATTTACATTAGAAAAAATGTGTTCATTAATAGCACCAGTATTTTGTACAGTTTCATGCAGGCAGTCGAAATGAGCCTTATTTTTGAACCTGTGGTTAAAAGTCACTGGTTCATAAATGGAAAGTCCATTCTGCTTTCTTACAAACATAACATGTTTACAGTATAAATCAAAACTTTTAAAAAAATAACAAGTGCAACCACTATATGTTGCGACAGATTGTGTGTTGGTACCACTACATGAAACATTAAAAGAAGGCTCACTTGATATTTGAGTATAATGAAACTGAAATTTTCCTAAAGATAAAAATTGCTGAACTACATATTCAGCAGCAAAATGTGTTAAATCATTTTTTATTTGATTAATAACCGGATTATTGAGTTGGGCATTATAATGTCTAGCATTTGAATTTAAAATTGAAGATAATTTTGAAAGCTTGCTTATTTGTGAATCATGGTAGATGAGCCGACTGATGCATGTGTTTAGGTTTGTCTGATGATTTAAAATCTTTTTAATTTTAGAATGATAGGATTCCACATGGTTTGTAGTGGTCAATCCCAAAGTGATGGTGTCTAGATTTAAATGCCTGGCCCACATTTCAGGCTTATTCCACCAATTCTCCTCAAAATAGGTTAAAACCTGAACAGGTGCAATATTTTTTATTTCATCTTTTAAAATGTTGAACTCGCTTACAGAATCTGTCTCTTTCATAGAAAAAAATAGATTTGTAATAGCCTCAATTAAATGGGAGGTTAAACCTCTTTTCGTTAAAGCTCTCTGCAGGGCCAAATTTATGTGAAAAGCACAGATTAAAATATGTGCTTCAGGGAAAACCTTTTTAATAGCACCGATTTCCGAAAAATCTTTATCTACAAAAAAACAGGGGCTAGGAAACGTATAAATTTCTTTAAAAAATTCTAAACATTTAACTAATAAATTCTGCTGTTCACAGCGTATAAATGCATGCATGACAGGGCGACCCCTGCCATTGCTGTCAACGGCCATTATAGTTAAAAGAGGCAAGTTATAAATATTTGTTTTGTAGGTAATATCCATTACCAAAACTTCTGGATACTTAATCAAACATTGCATCATCTCACGTGATGAGTACACTAAATATATAAAATTACCCTCCCCATCCCTCCCAAAATCAACTCTACCTCCTTCAACCATTAGATAATTTAAAAGTTTTTCTGTCTCCTGCTGGTCTGTACTTTTATTAGGCACACGCACCTTTGCCCTCAGATTGCTGACATCTTTGGGAGCAACCACAACATTCTGTTCTTTTAATATAACTTCTCTGAGCTCGGTGTTTGACACTGATGTATACTGAAGCAGCGTGTTCAACATTGGGGTTAGCTGGACCTTTCTCTTCTCAGGCAATGCATTAACACTCTAAATAAAAAAGGAAATTAAAGCAATTTGAGTATGTAAAATAAGATATACATCTAAATGTAGCCTATAACTTAAAAGAATCCAATGTGTACTATACAAGCACAATAGAAATACATTAAAAGCATGTCTGTGCAATAACATCTTACCTCCTGGGACAGCATGTGGTTAGCATGAACTAAATCCGATTGCACTACTTGCAACTTCCAGTTGTCGTTGACTTTAACCATTTTAACTCTCAATTTGGCTGGACAGCCTAGTTTTAATGACCTATAAAATAAAGAAACTGTTTTAAACAACATTAACTATGGTCATTTAAAGTGTAACATATAGTTTTAACAAGTTCTTAACTTGTATATTATTTAACAGTAACATTCTAAAAAAGAACAAACCTTTGGTTAGGTCGCAAGCCCTTCGATTTTGACGCCCTCTCTGTGCCATGCTTGCATTCATAGAGAATGAACTGGTAAACAAGAGTCTCATACTCAGTGGATCCATTTGTAGCTGGTAGCTAAATTTAATGAAACAAATGAATACATTATAATTATAATACATGTATATTGTATGAAATTATTGCTAATGTTAAGGATGGCTGCCACGGGGTCTTTTGGGTGTTTATTATAGTTGCAGTAAATTAGGGTTTAGCTTAGGTTGAGGGATCGATTTAGGGTTCAGGTTAGGCATAGGGATCTATTTAGGGTTCAGGTTAGGCATAGGGATCGATTTAGGGATTTTTCGTGAAATTCGATAAAATAGTGGCAGTCGTCCTTAACATTTACCTATGAAATTAATATTATACTTAAACTGTATAATAATATATCTATAAATCTATTTTTAAAAATGCGCTTTTTAACAATAAATAAATTGTAATAGTGGCAGTCGTCCTTAACATTTACCTATGAAATTAATATTATACTTAAACTGTATAATAATATATCTATAAATCTATTTTAAAAAATGCGCTTTTTAACAAAAAATAAATTGTAAAAATCAATAAATAAAGATAGTTAGATAGGCTTACCTTTTTAGAACTCTTTTTTATAAAGACAGCATTTTGAAGCTCTTCTAAGGCTTTGATGGCTATTTCCAAATCTTTGAATGTATCAAAATGGCAATTTGCAGCTAAAACACTTTCAGGATTCATTTCTAGGCAGGTGTTGTCACTAGTACGAACTAGTAAAAAATGAACGAGCCATTGCTTCACCCTCGTCATAGAAAGCGGGTTTTTAAAGTTCCGGTTTTGGTTTGATTTGATTGGCTGGACTACCAATAGCTCTCTAGTAGCTATTGGTAGTGAACTACCAATAGACACTTCCAACTTGTAATTTACTAAAATGCTAATAAAAGGCCGTCTATAAAGTACTTCACACTCAGGAGGGGGTCCAAATAATTTTGACTCGGGTGGGGGAGGTAAAAAATCTTGTGTGACATCACACATTTTTTATCATAAGTGACAATCGTCATAATTATGATCCTGATCTTGAAATGACACACTGACTCGGACTGACTGACTGAAGTTTTAAACTTTATAATTATGTATACTAATCAATAGTCATACTGTAGTGATGTTCATACAATGTATTCTGACAGAAGATATAATAAAATAACATTTCAGTGTCTGCTATTAAAAAATTGTGTTTTATTGAGTGTGAGTGGGTCACTGGTTTACTGGTTTTTCGCTGGTACTGACTGACAGAGAGGGTGGGCGCTGTTTTTACAGTTTACAGGAGTGCATTGCGATATATATTCTACCAGGTTATTTTGGATGGATTTGAAGCTTATGCAAATATAAATCAGACTTAGCACAGTATCTGCAAACACTCACTTGTAAATCATTATTTAACAAAACTTCCTTTATTACAAATGTCGCTGTCACTGGTGTCCACCCAACAAATGTATAAAAGATGTGGATGGGCACAAATCGCAAACTGAAAAGACAGTTTAGCACTAGCTGCACTCTTATGAATTTTTATTCCCTTCATTGTTACCCTATTTTCCGTGGGAGGGGGGTGGGGGAGACTCATACTCAGCATATATACTTACATATTAATATTATATTTTTTTCATAATTTAAATTAAGTTTAAATTTGTTGTCTTGCTTAGTTATAATATTTATCTATGTGCTGAATTGAATATGTACAATATCATAAAAAAATATTCCCATTTATTTGGAGCAATAAAAGAATTTTATTTTATAACTTGACTTATCAACAAAGAATCACCTGTAAAATAGCTCATCCAACACGAAAAAACACAATGTTTAAAATATCCGGTGTTGAAGCAATAGATTACCAAAAGTGTATTTTTAAAAAAAACCTTAATGGTCAAGTGTGTTTTAGATAAAAAAAATTTTGTTTTGTTTTTTTTAACATTTTTTAAAGTGACATACTTAAGGAGGCGGGGAGTCTGAAATTCGTGGCAGGTTGAAAACTGAGATTGTGACAAAAGGGGGTGGGGGAGAGAATTTCCAAAAATAGAGTAACCTACTTTTGTCAAAATTTTTTTATTTTTTAATCATAATCAGGTCTGATCATGTAATGAGATATAATTAGGCTATGCTTGAATAAAACAATAATTACCCAATAATTGTATTTGATTTAAGATTTGTAATTTTTACAATAGAAAATGTCATAACATAAAATGATAAGACGAATTCCAGTGCAGATGACAGCTAGTCACTGTATTCAACAAAAAATTCAAAATTCATTTTGAAAAGCATGTTACAAATAATTATCAGATGGCAATGGTGGTATTTTGCATCATACTGAACTTGCAATGCCGAAAAAACATGTTGAATGACATGTATGATATGCCCAACTTTCTGGCCTAACATTATTTTAGGCTAATTAAAACACGAAAATGCCATATAGTGGATGACCTTTTTATTTAGGCCCAATGTGCAGATGTATAAATATGTCATATCCTAAACAACTTGGGTGCTAAAGATGAAGGAACCATTTAAAATATACCAAATAAAACAGATTATTATATCCTGTGATTTTATAAAAAATGTTTTATATTACTATTTTTTAGGTGACTCTGAAGTGTTTTCCAACCCTTTACCCCCATCTGGTCACAGAGTGCATGGTGATGATGGGGGTGATGATGAGTATGTCAAACTTTATCATTACCTAACAGAACATTTGGCAATGTATCAAGTGTGAATTTCATTTTTAAAAAAAATTAATTAAGAAATAATTAATTATAATAATTATTTGTTCAGATATGCAATATACTATATACACATATCTTTCATTTATAAAATTCAGTTTTGAAAACTAGTTTGCCTTATAATAATTTATAAATATTGATTACATACTATGTAGGTTATAATAATAAATGGTAGAAAATGATGCTTTGCATTGAAAAGATAAGCAATATTTGTTCTTTTTAATCATAAGGCACCCTCTTACCAATGAAGACTTCCGTAAGATGCTTATGACCCCCAAACCATCATCTTCAACATCTTATACAGAGACAGTAAGACATGCAAGAAAAGAGTGAGTGTGGTATAGCTTTAAAAAAAATTAAAACTGTTATCAATTTGAAAAGACAATTCTTAGTCATAAAAAATTTGCTTCAAACATTTCAGAAATTAAAAATTATAATTTTTAATCAATCTTAAATTTTATTTTGTTTTTATAAGTATTATAAGAGTACTTTTTCATTACCAAAGCAATATAATATTGTTAATCATCTTATATTTTACCTTATTATATAGAGCACCTATTAAGGAAGATGAGGTGGAAGAGGAGGATGCAGCAACAAGGAGGAAAAAAAAGAAAAGGTAATCATGGATAAACTATTTGATTAAAAAAGTTGTTATTTTTGTCATGGTTGTTAGGCATTGCTAGCTTTTTCAAAGAAATATTTTACCACTCATTTTTATTTTTCAGTTATTATGCAAAGTTGAAACGAGATGAAGAGGAGCGACAAAAAGAGTTGGAGTCTAAATATAGAGATAGGGTAAAAAAAAAAAAGAAACAAATATATACACACATATATATATATATATATATATATATATATATATATATATATATATAAATATATATATATATATATATATATATATATATCATTATATATAACAAACCAATCTGAAAATTAATTGCTGTAAGCCAATGATAAGAAGATGGTTAGGTATGCAGTTGATTTTCATCTTTAATATTTGCTTTTAATTGGTATGAAAAAAGTTTTGGCATTTATTTACAATTGGTTTTTAAAAGTCGAAAGGATATCTTATGTTTACAATTTAATTATTTTACTGTTGCTTACAATTTTTAACCAAATCTATTATTTTTATTTTGATATTCATTTCAAAATCTATCTACAAATGGCAGGCAAGAGAGCGTAGAGAGGGTCACAACAAAGACTATGTTGAAACGGAAGTAATCAGTACAACTGCCGATTACAGGGCTGTAGCACCTGATGCAAAAGCGTACGAACATTTAATATAATATTTTTTATGCTAACGCATCGCTAATCTTTTTTTACTAAAGCTTATTAATAGGAATCACATTGTTCCACATGATATTTTTGGTACAACCGTTGAAGTATTTCAAGGATGTACTATACATTACCGTACTAGACTATAGAAACTACAAATTTAGTTATTTTCTTAGAGGGTAATGTCAAAAGCCAACACATTTTTGAACATGTTGATCACTCTTCATAATTAGTTATTTTGTTTGTAAGAGCGCCCAGTAGACCATCACACCATTTAGTGTGAATATATTATCTATTCATAATTTCTTTACAGCATTGAGAATTATGCGGAAAGAAGAAAGCAAGTAATTCAAGCCTCAAAATATTTGGGTGGTGACATGGAGCATACACATTTAGTCAAAGGTTTAGACTTTGCACTTTTGGAGAAGGTAATTTAAAAAATGATAACTGGGTGTGATTTTATTTTCCTGGAAAAGGGTCTAATAAATCCAAATTTATATTTGTAAATCCCATAAGTGTATAATTTTTTTAAATTAAAATTAAAAACCACAATAATCCACCATAATGTTGAAAAACTATAAAAATGATTTTGAACGAGTATTACTCCTGTGTAATTGATGGTTTCCTATACAGGTCAGAGCAGAAATTCAGACCAAAGAAAAAGAAGAGGAAGACATGATGGAAGCTGTTGTTTCTCAACCTAAGTAAGATTGTGCATCTTTTATTTAACATATTTAGAGCAATTTAATTCATATATGTTTTATTGAAAACTGCCACAATCATACATCATATGACATGTTCATTTAAGATTTTATGAAGACTATATATGTTTTTTTTCGTTAGTAAATAACAGTTCAGTAAATGTTTCAACTATATCTTGATAAAAGTATGGTATCTGAGTTGAAGTTGTAAAAAAAATTAAAAGTTATACTTATATAGACAAGATATAAAACACTTTAATATTCAGAGTAATGAATTTAAGATGTAACATGAACCAAAGATGAATACAATAAAAGATGTTTTCAAATTGCTCTGTCTGGGTAAAATACATGGAACAAATGTTAAACTGGTTACTTTAGATCATCCTCTACAAATTGCAACAACAAAAAATACTTAATTTTTATTCATTTATGGTGGAGTCTGTCCGTTTGGGGGTTCTATGAGTTGTAGATATTTCCCTCTATTTGCGGTTCTATGAGTTGCAGACATTATCCTCAATTTACAGATTGTTAAGAGTAACTTAAAGCCTGTTCTGCATAATAAAAGTCTTATTAAAATTTTTCCCTAAAATTATGTAATTCATATCCTGATAATATGCAAGAACTGTAAAGCTTAATGATCTGAGATTTCTTGTAGAAAAATTATGAATCAAATTTATAAACAATTCTGAGGATGATAATGATAATAAGGTCGCCGACGAAGTCAATAGATATTGGAAATAGTCTGATAGCTGAGTCAAAGTGCCAGAGATACTAAAACATATACTATTTAGAAAATGTGATGATTAAAGGTTCCATAAAGCGAAGCCACAAGGATAACCAGAACACATTATTAATAAAGTTTTTTTAATTTATTTTTTTAAATCTCAATATGAACCAGAAGACCAGTTTTAAATTAAATAAGGGGAAAAGACATTTTTGTAGAAACCTGTCAGTTTCTTCCTACATTTCAATTATTTACTATTGAATTTTTGTTATAATCTAAAACAGGTGCACTCATTTATTATCAATGACATTACTGTAGTTTGGTATGCCTATCTAAGCACTGACAGGTGTTTCATCAGCTATTCTAGGTAAAACTCTCATAATCATCTGCAACTTCAAGCTCATTTTAATAGGTTTTTTTAAACATTACAGAGAAGAAGAGAGCCCAGAAGAAAAGATAACTTTTAAGACCAAATTAGGTATGATTTATCATCTTAGGCCAGTGATTCCCTAACATAGAAAGTGTGACTAGACAATTAGAGAAACAACTTTTTTTTGGTGAGCAGGATTTGTAGCTTATTAGAAGAATTAATTTCAGAAAACCACACTTTAAGAAAAGCTTTAAAAATTTATAATGTTTAAATGTACAAACTTGTAGATTAAAGCTGAGTGTGTCACAAAATTTCTAACAGATGACACACTCTAGAGGACAACAGCTGATATAACAGATAAACTTGAGACACATTTTAGGAAAGAACAATCTTTTCTATTATAAAACTCAGGTTGAACAATTATGCCTCACATCAATTGCAAACTACATTGCTTGGCCATAGCAATATCTTTCTCAATGAGAAATTTATGTTTTAATGCTGCAAGAAGCTTGAAAGACATTCTTGAGAAGCAATTTGGGCATTTACAAAATGAAATATTTTATTTCCTGTGAATAATGTTCGGGAATCACTGTCATTTTGTTTATCTCATAATTCTAATTTTTTATTTAATTTTTAGTTAAGTACCATAAATACTTCTGCATGTAATAGCAGTCAAACTTATGTCTGTTTGTATGCTTCACTATATAGACAATCTATCTTTAATAATAATTTTCAAACAATTCTAATTTTCACAGGAAGAAACATATACAGAGTTCTCTTTAAAAATAGGCCACCAGCCAGAAATGAATTGTTTCTCCCAAGAAGGATGGCCTATGTTATTGACCTGGAGGATGATTTTGCTGAATCTGATGTGCCTGCTACACTTATAAGAAGCAAAGCTGATTGCCCTACTTTGGCTGTAAGTCATATTGAAGTTATGAAAAACATCGTAAAAATGTATGTCTTATAAAGCTTTATTTTTTATATGGTTTGTTTTAATTATTATCTTTATTTTGGTTCATAGGCAACAACAACTCTAACCACTAATGATATTGTGATCAACAAACTTACCCAGATTTTGTCTTACCTGCGACAAGGCAAACGTGAAGCCAAAAAACTGAAGAAGAAAGAAAAGGGTCTGTAACTTTAAAGCATCTGTAAAGAGAGAAAAATATATTATCTTAAAAAATCTGTTAAACAATCATGTAAATTTATCCTATGCAGTTTTTATTGTATTCATATTTGTGTTTATTCTTAAAGGCAAACTCAAAGAAGAAGAAAAGGCAAGGATTACAGCAATGGATGACGGGTAATTATTCTGGCCTTATTAATGAAAGTTAAAATGTCTGCTTTACAAAGAATTTGTATTTGCCTTTAGTAAACCAAAATAAAAATTAAAATACAAAGGGTTGTACAAATATTTGCACAGCTGCTTTTTTATATACATGCATTATTAGTGTTTTTGCTTTATTTCAGCATTTATGGAGAACTTGGTGATTATGAACCCTCTTTCAATAAACCAAAAGACAAAAAAGAGAAAGACAAGAAAGATAGGGACAACAGAGATAGAGATGGCAAAACTGATCGTGATAGAGACAGGGATAGAGAAAGAGGCAGAGAACGGGAAAGGGAGAGGTAAAATCTTTATTTGAAGCAAAACTTATAAAATGTTTTATTTGACTAAAATGTGGGAAATAGGTCAAATTTTGTTTTAAAAAATATTTTTATCATGTTGTTTTTTGTTTGTTTTTTTTTTAACTGTTTAAGGAAAATTAATTTAATCTTATTTGCCAGTTTCTACAATATTAAACCTAACTGTACAATGAATAATAATTTATTTTTTAAAAATATATTTCTAAACAGTTTTGAAGGGCAGCGTTACTTTCCTGCTCCCTTGATTAAAATAAATATAGTAGGATTATATGAGAAAGACACTGATAAATTCAACCCTTAGCCAATGGACAATAAGTTTTTTATAAACCAAACTTGGTTGCGAAAAATTTAACAAAATATTTCTTTGAATAAAGCAAACTGAAACTTTGTTTCTCTGGGTTAAATTGTTGATGACTAAAGTTTGTAACTGTTTTAAAATAAAAAAAATCAATTATATTTTAAGTTACAGAATAAGAGAAAGAGAGCGTGACAGGGATAGAGAGCGTGACCGCCGGGATCGTGAACGTGATAGAGACGTTGAAAGGGAAAAAGAAAGAGTGGATAGATACAGAGATGGAGAAAAAGACAGATCACAAAAACGTTCTTACTTTGAAAAGCCTGTAGAAGAAGTATGTTGTCAAAGAAATGTTTTAAATATGTATGCCAAGTCATAGCCATTGGGGAAACAATAAAAATTTTAAGATTAAAACTCACTATCTTCTATTTTTTAAAATATGACCAAGTTTAAAGTATATTGATCTCAAAATTTCATTGAATATCTTAAATTTTGATTAATGTTAACCTTGTTTCTAAAAGATTATTTTTTATTTTTCAGGATGAAATCAAAGACAAGGCAAAGCAATCAGCCAGTGAACTTGTGAAATCTATAAATGATAAATTCAAGGTAAATTCAATTCAGGACATTCTGAGTCTTTTAAATTTAAAATAACTTTGGACATGTGTTATGGTAATATAAAAAAGACCTACACATGTCATGGGTTATTTCCACTAGGAGAATCCGACCACACAATGGTCCGCCTAATGCCATGCTATAAGCCAGTTTTGAAAACAACAAAAATTCAAACAAAAACTATTGGACTGTGGTCAGATGAGGCGACAGAAAAACTTCAGGGCTGTTTGGAAAGTACAGACTGGGACACGTTTATAAACACTTGCCAGGACATTGAGGAGCTAACACTGTCAATTCCTACATTAAGTTCTGTGTAGACGAAGTCATTCCCAAAAAAAACTTCAGAGTATTCAACAACAACAAACCCTGGATGAGCAGAGAAATAAAGGAGGCCAAACGCCACAAGAAGACCTTGTTTAAGATCAGGAATTCATTAACTCATTCCCTCCGGCAGTGCTACTTCCGTACTTAATTTATTTTCCGGAGAAAAGGGAAGCAACTCAGTTTTGAAATCGATTTAAATTTTTTTTTTTTTAAATTTAAGCTGCTGCTAAATAATAATAAATTTTAAGAATTAAGGACAAATATATAAAAAAATGAATAAGGTTTAATAAAAAAAATATAACACTAGCGACGAAAAAATAATGAACAATGGCAAAAAAATTGATTTTTGGCACCTCGGACCAATCACGCAGAAATCACGCCATAGCCGGAAGTCTCGAGGGACGCGAGATTTCATTGCTATTTTTAACTAAAAATAAGAGAGGTCTGTCGCTATGTGCCCGGATGCATTTGGGCGCATCCGTCGAAACCCCCAAAGGACGCATTTAGTCGCAACCGTCAGGAATGAGTTAAGGCTAACAAAAATATTGAAAAAAAAAATATATCAAGGTAAAAAATAATACAAAAAAAAAATTATTCCTTACTAACAACCCAAAGGCTTGTTGGGCTGGTCTAAAGCAAATAACAGGATGTACTCCTAAGGGAGAATGCTTATGTGTTGAGGACGTGAAGAATTTTGTTAACGAATTAAATGACTTTTATTGTCGTTTTGATAGCCTTGACTTTTGAAGAGTACACAATGAGATGATGAATTTATTTAAAGATGGCAGTAGTACACAGGATGGTACTTTATTGTTCACCGAACAGGAAGTGAGTCGTTATTTAAACAAGGACGTATCCAAGGCCTCGGGACCAGACAAATTAAGTGGTCGGCTCATTAAACTATGCTCAGAGCAGCTCTCCTACATTTTTTGTTACATATTTAATAAATCTTATGTAACTCACACAATACCAACAATTTGGAAAACTTCAGAAATCATACCAATTCCAAAGAAAAATAAGGTAATGTGCAACAACGACTTACGACCTGTTGCACTTACCTCTATAGTAATGAAATATTTTCAGAAAATAATTCAGAAAGAAATTTTGAATGAAGTACAAACCTGCCAGAAGTACGGAGGATGCAATCTTACTATTTGTTGGAGAGACTTTACCATCACCTAGACAGTCCTAAAACATATGCCAGAGTGCTTTTCTTAGACTTCTTATCAGCATTTAACACTATCCAACCACACCTTATGATTAAGAAACTTTCCTCGTTAGGTGTCAATTAAAAATATTCAGGCTTGGATACTGAACTTTTTAACAAATCGACCACTATATGTCAAAGTAAATAACCAATTATCTCTAACCAGAGAAATAAGCTCCGGGGCACCACAAGGCTGCGTTCTCTCCCCTGTTCTGTATACAATATATACCAATGATATTCAAAGTTCAAGCGACACCGTTCCAATCTTAAAATTTGCTGATGATATCACCATTGTTGGCTTAATATCTGAAGGAGAAGGCCTATACTGCAACTTATTTACAAGCCTTATCAATTGGTGCGATGAAAATTTTCTCCAGCTGAATGTCTCAAAAACAAAGTAAATGGTTGTTGATTTCAGGAGGGGGAAGACAAGATTACAGATCTCAACATAAAAAATCAAAGTGTAGAGAAAGTTGAGGCATACAAGTACTTAGGTGTCACTGTTAATAATAAGCTAACATGGCATGAGCTGTATAAGAAATGCTGTATAAGAAATGCTGTATAAGAAATTCAACCAAAGACTGTTCTACCTTAAAAAAGTGTACAATTTGGGCGTAAACAAGCAAGTCGTTAACTTATTCTACAGTGCAACAATTGGAAGCCTACTTAATTTCAGTATTACCTGCTGGTGTGGGAATTCAACGTCTGATATTAAACACTGCATAAACCGACTAATCAAGAAAGCTAGGAACATAACACAAACTTAACATCCTTCACTTGAAGAACTATTTGAAGAAAGATGTTTTTGTAAAACTAAACACATTTTGGAAGATACATCCCACCCTCTTCATCACAGATACTTAGGATCGGGCCGAATTCTTTCCATCAGGCCGAGGACTGAAAGATATAAACATTATTTTTTTCCCCAATCTGTACGAATTTACCAGCGTGCTCCCTCTGAAGTCACACATCTTAATGAGAACTAGTAAGTCCCCGATTTGGCTAAGAGAACTCACTGAATGGCTGTTTGAAATAATTTATTATAAATTGTTTTATGTATGTGCTGAAAATGTATAATGCAATCATAAAACATTTCCATTTGTTTGGATCAATAAAAGAATCTTATCTTATCGGAATATATCCATAATTTTTTTTACCCCAAAAGTAACTTATTCTGTCAACTTCAATCAATTAAAATTTTTTTTTCACAATTTTTTCAGGGTTACGCAGAACTGGAGGAAGAAAAAGAAAAGTATGTAACAATTTTGACAAAATAAAATGTAATTAATATCATTTTATAATAGTTGAGATACTATATTATGTGTGCCTTACAGTAATTTGTATCTTTGTAAGTACCAAATTTAGGATGTAGTAATTATTTAGGAAATATTTCTGTCAATTTCTTCTTTATTTATAAATATATCAAGCTGTTATTAAAGGTAGAAGGTTATAATTTATATAACTTCTATCCTAAAATTGTGAGATCTGATGGTTAGAAAATTTCTTAAATGTTAAAATGTTAGTTTTCTTTATTCATTAGAGTTTGGGCATTTAAATAAAAGCATTATGCTTTATTAATAGTATGTAGTATTCTGTATAGTCTTTTAGCCGTAATTGAGGTTGAAACAATACATTTGGAAAATAGCCCCTGAGATGTACTTTTTAAATAATAAATTTAGATTTGTGTGAAATTTATTTTTTTTACAATATTTGTATTATAACCCACTTCTTGCACACTGATGTGATGACTACTAACAAAATAGTTATTCAACTGATTTATTATATTTCCAGAGTGAAGGTTGAGGCGGAAAAAAACAGACTCATGAAACTAAATGCTAAAACAGTTATAGACAGTTATGCAGAGTGCTATCCAGGGTAAGAAATGTTCCAGTCATTTGAAAATAAGCTTATCATTTTGAAACGTAACCCCTTGGCAATTTTGATTTAAAAAATAAATGTACCGGTAATTGTCTTTATGCAAAAAATAATTTTAACAATTAAATTTTAAGAACTAAAATCAATTGTGATTTTTATCTGTTGGCATACATATTGAAATTCATTCCTTGACTTAACATTACCAGCATGATGGAATCAGCTGATGCCATTGATGACTCGGATGAGGAGGTTGATTTCACTAAAATGGACCAGGGCAACAAGAAAGGCCCAGTTGGGAGATGGGACTTTGATACAGCTGAAGAATATTCAGATTACATGTCCAACCGAGAAGCTTTACCTAAGTAAGTTACTGGCAGTGGAAGCACATGTGAAAACTGAGATTTATTCCACTGAAATCTTTACACTTCTCAAAATTCTTACTTTACTGTATATAACTGTAGCAAACATGTATCCCTTGCAAAGCATAAACAAAATATTTTTTAAAATGTTCTGGTTATTTAATACAATATGATTAGCCCCAAGATATTTAAGTATTCCAAATTTTAACATACACATTTTAAATTTTTTGTTTAACAGGGCTGCTTTCCAGTATGGTGTTAAAATGTCAGATGGCAGACGCACACGAAGGACAGGCCCAAAGGATGAAAAGCAAAAACTTGATAGAGAACTACAACAAATTCAAAGGATCATCGACAAAAGAAAGCCACCTGGTGGTGGCGGGGGCAGCGAACCTAAACATCCTAAATATTAATATTTCATCAATCGCTGGGTCATTACTCATAATGGTACATGAATAGGAGGATCATCATTTTTTTATGTTATTGTAACTTGTTTTGCACTTTATATTACATGTGGCACAGTCCGCAAGTTTTTGAATGTAAAAGTTGAAACAAAACATTAGTCATGTGGCTGATATTCCATTCAGCACTTTAATTTGTAAAAGGATAATTATTCTATAAATACTACATTTTTATTATGGCTTGAAAAGAGAATAGTCACGCTCCTATTAATTAATAATTATTTATAGAGTTATTAAAGGGGATATTTTACCAGCAAATATAAATTTATTTTTAAAAAGTCCAGATTTGTATTAATACCTCAATATAAATTTCTTAATAGCTAATCTAATTCACTTAAGGAAAATGACACCCAGAGACTGCCCGTCTCACCTCCTCTCTTTAAATCGACATACTCCTGAGCATCCTCAAAGCGGGATGTATGCCAAGGACCTGAAATCCCACCTCAGCTATCATTGGGCATGTATCTAACAGTAACAGTCTCCTGGCCAGACACCCACTGGTGCGTAAAGTTGCCAAAGGCTCTGGGTGGTATTATCAAAGGCCATAACTTAGCCTCCCTCCCAAACCAGATGACAAGCAACCACCATTTGACCGGGATATACGCTGGAACGTGTTATAGATTGGATCACTGGTACTCAAAGTTTGCCTTAGTATTCGTTGGTACCAAGGTGTCTATGAGACTTTTAATATTTTACTCTAAATACTAATCTGTAATAAAAAGTGGCTGGGCAGCTTCCTGGGATAACTATATCTTTTTAACTTGAATCCCTTAAAAACGGCAGTAACCGTTGTGCATGACATTATTATTGGTATCTTCCAGCCACAGAAACCATTGCCACATTTCATGTTTGAAAATGTATCCAGGCTTGGTTAGACAGAAGCAACACTCAAGAGACACTGGCAGCTGTGCCAGCAACCAAAAGTTTTGCTTTATATAATTTTCTTGGCATTTTATTCACATCAATCACTGTACTGTTTGAGTTGTGGAAATAAAAAGGAAGGAACATATTGCTTTTTAAAAAAGAATAGGAAAACAGTGAAAAGATGATTTTTCAAATAAATTTTTGTATTTTGATTGTTGTTACACGCAGGGAAGAAATTCATTTAAGTCTGTGCTCCCCATTTGTATTAAATTTTCTTTCAAATAAACAATGTGTTATGTTTTAATATTAATATAATGCTAAACTCTCTTGTGGGCTGTTGATGTCTGTGTTATTTTTTTGACTGTTGTGTTGTCTAAATAAGAATTTAAGATATGGTGATGGATTATTATCACAATATCTGCATGAGGATGGCAAATCAGTCTTATGACACCAATTTAATAAAACCATTTATGCAATGTATTTAAATATGTATTTCTGGTGGTCATTGTATTTAAAGAAAGTTTTTGTTTTCATAATCATAACCTTAATAATTTTCTGCACATGTTTATGGATTCCGGGCTCCAGCTATGGCTTTGGCATCATCTTAAGCCTTGAGAACTGCTTCTCAATATAAACATTTTCTAATCCACAATATTAAGGATATCGGAGCTAATCCAGTGGCACCAATCGAACTACACCGAATGACATCACAAAGGGCTACACCCATTACAGGGAGGTTACTCCATTACAAGCAGGGGGGGGGGGGGGCGGCTGTTACTGAATTGAAAATTTTACAGCCCACAAACACACATTTAAATGTACATTTGCTGCGCGGATACTCAAAACTTCTGCGCCGTTTGAGATAGCCGCGCAGCTTAAAAGGAACATTGGAGACAAGTTGTTCGAATAGTAAGGTGCCAGACCAGCATCTGCAGCGATCGTTTGGCCTACATTTAATAAAAATAATAAAGCTTATTTGAAAATCACGCTTCATCCCCAAAGGCTCGAAGCATTGAACAAAGTCAACCATTTTAGTTTAAGCTACGCGAAATGATTCTGTATAAGTACTGTTTGATTTCCCTTACATTCAGAGAGAGACAGGATGAGCATATTGATGCATGACCAGCTTGCCGTGGCATTTGCTAAGTACGAGATAGGGCCATCCAATAGTTAGCAACAATAGTCATTCCAGGTCTTAGACTTGTGTTATTACGCTTTATGTTACTGTAAGAATTATACATTGTTATTGTTAGACCTTTATTCATTTCTTTAATATGTAGATTTTATGTATCTTTGTTCATATTATATTACATGTAATAAAGTACATTTATATATAGAGCACTGATTGTCTTCATTTTAGCCAGTAGTGTGTCTAAAATCTACCTGTGTTAGCCCCTTTTCAAATTCCCTTAGACCACGAGCTTGTCCAAATTCATTGAACAACATATATATATGCTGCTCCAAAGTATAAACTCTTCTACTAAATGAAGTAAACAAAAATATATTTACGAGAGAGCCAACAACTAAAAAGCTGCAAACCTCATTAATTAACCAATCATTGAGGAGATCATAAACTTTAATAAATAAAACATCACATGGGTAGAAAGAGTAAGAAATTAAAACTTGTGACAAACACTTTGCCAATGAAATGCGACCTCGCAAATAAAGGTGGTGGTGTTTGATTTGGACATACTGAGGGAAAAAAAAGCACCCAAGCGTAGCGAGGCAGGCACCAGTGGGGAAATTGGTCATCGCACACAAGGCCCATAACTGAGGTAGGCCTATCTAGTGCCAGCCTGCAACTATAAATCGGCTCAACGATGTGTTGCTAATAACATTTTTTTAAAGCGTCAATGTAATTGTATGTTTTTTAACAACTGTTTTATATTTTTGCCATTTTTAACAACCGGTTCGGTAGAGAAGTCAAAATTTAACAACCGGTTCGGGTTCGCCCAAACCAAACCGAGTCGGCAACAGCATTTTATTAGGCATAAGGTGACATAATGTCAAATATGCCAAATCATTTAGTATCGAATGGATTTTGAAATAATTAGTTACTATGTATAGCCCGCCAAACAATGGTGACCACAATGCGTGGACTTCCCATACGTTACTTGACAAAACATGCATTCTAATAACACTTTAAAAGAATCCCCCCAAAAGGCCCCCCCCCCCTTTCCCAGGTTCGTAGCCGCACACTTTTTAGTATTTTGAAATAATTAGTTACTATGTATAGCCCGCCAAACAATGGTGACCACAAAGCGTGGACTTCCCATACGTTACTTGACAAAACATGCATTCTAATAACACTTTATAAGAATCCCCCCAAAAGGCCCCCCCCCCCCTTTCCCAGGTTCGTAGCCGCACACTTTTTTTCACGCCCCTAAACTATTCTTATGTCCCATACCATTTTTTAACGCAGATTCCTAGAACCACATAAAAATTTAGACTATTTCCATAAAACATAAACAAGAGAAAATACTATATTCTATGCATACGCAACAAACGAACTTGCACTGTTTGTAAGAATTTCATTTAATTAGTTAATTGGCTCAGTCTCAGTTATCGGATCGGGAATTTTATTTAGTGAAATCAGTCTTGTCTGGTAGCGCTAGTGACATTGTTACATAGATAATTATGTATTTTGATTGATGCTTTTTTCTGCCTAGATTTCCTTCTGTATGCGTATGATTGTATGTTTGTGGTGTCCCCTTTCCAAACGCAAAATTTTGTGCATGTGATTTTAATGGGTGTGTGTGTGTTTGAAAAAATGAACGTTTTGATTGGTCGATTTGTGCGGATGCGGTTCTTTCGAATAGCGGAAGCTGGTTTAACTAAACCCTATTGTTCAGACTTTCAAAAGTTCTAGACAGTATGCACTAACACAAACACTCATTAAAAGTGATTAATTAATTATTTTACAGTGGAGCCATTACATATAAAGGTAAATTTCAGAATTATATTTTTCAGAGCAGTTTTAACTGAACAGTATTAGATTATAGGAGATAGGCCAGTGCTTTCATTTCTTCCAAACATTTCCCCCGTAACTGTAACTCGTAACGTAAACTTCACTAAAACTAAAACGTATGCCGTTTAACTACAACTTCAACTACACTAGGACTAGGAATGGTAAAGTTTCTCTAGGTTAGTCGTGGCGTCAACCTACACTTTTAATGTTTGTCATAGTACTCATAGGCCTACATCATTTCACCACACTGTAACTCGAGTAAAGTAAATGTATTTCAGATTTACTAGTACTAGTCAACTAGTGTTTCTAGTGTCAGTACTGTCAGTGTACCGAGGGTCGGGGTAAAAAAAGTGGGTATACCAAAAAAGTTTACTGTACTGTAACTTGTAACATTAACATATTTTAAGATCTATTATAGTATAGGCAGTTACTGTTACATACCCTGGATATGAGTATGATTATGATCATCATATATTATGATGGACCATGGGCGGAAAACAAAAAAGGGAAGGCGAAGGCTTATTTTATACTTATTTAGTTTATGACTCAAATGACAGTAAGTCCAGTGTTGGGGTTCCCCAAAATCATGACATCGCTGCACTTATATTATATGGAGACGATCTGTCTTAAATTTAATTTTTATTTAATTTTTTTGTGTGGACGGTACTTGCAATTTCGGCGTAAATAAACTGCCAGCGATTAGGACTGATAGATTATAAAAATATATTAAAATAAGGGGCAATCCATAAATGACGTCACACGCCTAGAGGGGGGAGATTTTTGTGACGAGGGGGAGGGTGGTGGCTCAAGCAATGTGACGTCACATGAAAAGCGGAATATTGTAGTAAAGAATTGCACTTAATAACACTAAATTACAGACATGTAAAAATTTGTAATATTATTCTTTTGTACAATTATAATTATTTTATTTTTAAACTACTATCACTTTTTTTTGTTTGTTAAAGTTAAAGCAGCAGCAATGGTAGCAAATACAATCAGTGGCATAGCTAAGGTTGGTGTCAACCGGTACGGTAAGGTGCCCCCTCTTGACTTCCACGATGTTATCTTCTTCAAACTTCTTGTTAAACTTACTCCACAGTATAACAAATACAAGAAAAATAACAAATTAATTGAAGGTCAGGAAGTAAATGTATTTAAGAACTGTGACATGTCATGTACTGAGATTTGCATATTGTTATCAAAAGATAGCTTTATTTCTCAGACTTAACATAAATATAGCTTCCTGTCACTTACAAAAGTTACCGAACACTTCATTCGGCTTTGAAACATTGTCAAAACGTTGTGTTTCTGACATAATAATAAGGTAACCTAATAGCTGACGCATCAACCTTGAAATTTTAATAAAACACGCATTTTGATTGGTTACATGGGTGGAAAAAAACTGAAAAATTTGCGTGACGTCATTTATGGATGGCCCCTAAATTACAAAAAAATTTACTATTTATTAACTACTAAAATAAAAAAGATTTTATCTAAACAAAGCTAGGTAAGGGGAACCTAATTTTTCACAAGCATTACGTCGATTAAGTCTAGAATAATTACTATATCCAGGTATACATAAAAGTGGGTCTTGAATTTAAAAAAAAAAATCTGGACAGGGGGCTCAACTTTTGGTTGGCTGACTTCTGTAGGCTTCCTCAATTTCCACTATTTCAGCACATCTTTGTCTTTCGAAGTGGCAAATGACTGGCAAATTTATTTGTATAATGCACTGTGTATAATTATATGAATGTCAGTCAACTACTTTGAGAAGCGACCTTATTAAACATGCGATGTGAATAGTTATTGCATACATTATTCTGTATGTTTATTTATTTACTATCACAATACGGTAAGGTACGATTTTGAGGTGTTTTATAAGTACTATTCTGAGACTATATCGTCTATTTACTTACTATTTTGGAAGTTCCAGTGTACCCAGGTCTGCTAGGTACAAAAAATAAATGCTATAAAATAACAAAACACTGTAAACTATCAATGGAAGTGGCAATTAAAATGGCGAGATGAGACAGAAATGCAAGAAATACAAAGACCACTCAGCCAATCTCAAGGCTGGTATTATTGGCCATTTGACTTTGGTCTGACCAGTTGTCTCAAAAGTGTTAAGTAAATTATGGTGACACGTTCATTACCCACTTTTTATATACAATATGTAAAAACATAAACGTTTAAGCCATATCTAGCTAAGGCCATTTGATGTCCCATATAAACCATATAAACAAACCAATATTACTAATTGTGCTGAATCACTCAATCTGTGACACCAAAAGCGGGTACCTGATATTGAGTGTCAACACTATCTCATTAGCCATCATTAAAGGGATTTTTTTTAACTATTTAAAATCTTTTTAAATTCGGGCAAAGATTGTATGAACGATTCATTGTGCACTATGACTATGGTGGTCTTGATGATAGTGTTTAGACCTTGTTTTAGTAATTATTTCAACAGTGACAACAGCTTAATAACTTGTCTCCTGAGGTTTCTCAGCAGAGGCCGTCTAATGCCTGCAGCAGCATAGCCTATTAATCCTATTAATGGTATTATGCTATTACTATAGGTCTTAGATGAAAATTTTTTCGACAGATTGGAGCAATTGTCGACTGATATATTAGACTGGTGTTGCAAAAAAAAACAACATTATTTTATTGGGATTCCTTTGGGTCCAGTGTCTGGGAATTATGCATTTTAAAAAAACAAAGTGACTGGTTACAAGTAAAAGAAGTTTTTAAAATGTAAGAACACAAAAAAATAGAAACTTCAGGGGCCC